CTTTCCCGAGAAGCTGTCCCGTCTGTGAATCCTGAACCTGAACACCAGAAGATGAAGATATAACATTAAGACCTTGGTCAACCAATTGACCAACAGAAATAAGATTCAAGGCCAAGTCAGGAATGCAGTATGTGTCGGGAAGATGCAAGGAAGGGGAAGAAATCAAACCAGTGTGAGTAACATTCATAAGAGTACCATTAGCAGTATGTATAGGAGGTAAAGAGGTTACGGAAGACGAGGAAGACAAAAGCTGCGGGCTAGAGGTCATGTGATTGCAACAACCAGAATCAAAATACCAATGTGATTTACCTCCGGTAGCAGACATAGAGGAATTAGAAAGAAGAACCTGTTTGAGAATAGCCTCTATGTCTTGAAGAGTGTAAGACGAATGCTGAGGCTCAGTAGTGACGGCCGCTGTAACAGAAGAAGTGGCAGTAGCGGAAGACCCATGATGTCGAGAGAATGAACCTCTCGAACGGTGTGATCTGGCTGGACAATATGTAGCAATATGACCCCGAACATGGAAAATGTGGCATACCACCGTAGGACAAAATGGAGCAATATGACCCTGAACATGGCAAATGTGGCAGACCACCATAGAAGAATCCATATCCAAAAAATAAAGAAGCACCAGCAACCAGCAACAGTACGAAGACAAAAGAAAATCACGAACTGGATCACAAACCGGATAAAATAGCAGTAAAAGGCCGAAATTAAAAAGTTCACGAATACCAAATCCGAGCACACCACAAGGTAGCCGACGTCGATAGGAGTCGGCGGCTGAAAGGCGGCGGCAAACGGCTGAGTAGGTGAACCACACGCGCCGCCGGAAGCTCACGGCGCTGCCGGACAAAGTCGGCGCGTGGGAGCTGCACGCGCGGCCGATCTGGGTGGTTTCGGTCGGCGAAGAATCGTCTCGAGACGGCGGACCCGATGGTATGGGAGGTGAGAACCGGTGGGCACTGTAGAAGATCGACGAACCAAAACTCTATTTGGGACCTTAAACCTAGTCTGATACCATGTTAGAATTTGGGAAAAATATATTCTATATTATTCAAAAGACATGTACACATATATATAGGAACATAATGAGTCTAAATCTAATCCTACAATATATATACAAAATATATTATAACAACCACCACCTACCTAACTTTTTAGCTTTTTTTTTTTTTTTTTATTTTCTCACTGCTTTTCTTTTTTTAATTATAAGTTTATAGCATATAAATTCTAATAAATATCCATTGTAAAAAGTTAGAATAATTAGTTATAATTGATGGATGAAACTAAAGCCGCATATGAATTGAGGATGTCAATTTCTCAAGAAATTTTGTACATGTTTGAGAACACTTTTGAAAATTAATTTTTAAATTTATGAAACACATGGACATTTTCTTCATTCTTTAGGATCATACATCTATCATCAAGATTGAATGCTACACCATTATTCTCAATACAATATTTTTTGTAAACACTGCTTAATATATTCTCGTTGTTACAACCACTCAGACAAACATTGTAAAAATTGTTATAGCACGGAAAAAAAAAAAAAAAAATGCAAACTATACTAATTAAAGAAATTTAAAACTTTACTTTTATTTAAGCAGTTATTTCTCCATCTTACATGTGAATCCCAATTGATTAACATACAACGAACACACATTAGGGCTTACATTAGGGCTTCTTCAATGGTTAGCTATTTGACTAACTATTATGACGTGGACATGAGAAAAGTAAGAGAGAGAGTAGTCACTAACTACTAACAAATAGCTTATCTATTTCACGTAGCCCAAGATCATGTGAGAGGAATACGTGGGTCCAATAGTGTAAAATAGTTATTTTTCTTATCTCTCACATCCACGTCAGCTAACCATATAGCTAGTAATAGCTATTACCATTGGAGATGCCCTTAGGCTTAGCCACATAAAATACAAGGCACATCAATTTATTTATTTATCAACAAAGTGAGGGTCAACCGGCACAGGTCATCACACGTCACAGTAGCAACCCACGTGTCAAATTCTGATTTGCTCTCATCCTAAATCCCAGAAAAAAAAAAGAAATTTTATTTTCCATGGCTGGATAATCTTTTCAATCCACTCCCTTTTCAGCTAGTTTTTTCTGTTCCCTTCCAAGATGAAAAATCGATTTCGTTTCTGATCGGAAAATCATTCGAGGATAAACGGAGAACATAAGCTTCCGTGCGACAATGGCAGCCGTCACTTCAGTATCGTTTGCCGCAGTGACTCAGTCCACCGACCGGAAAATCTCAGTTTCGTCTGTTCGTAATGGCTTCGCTCTCAATAATCTCCGTTTGCCCCACACTTCGTGTAACTTCCGGAGCCGGAGCTTGAGCTCTCGTATGGTGGTTCATTGCATGTCCCCAACTACAGGTATTGTGATTTATTTATTTACTCCTTTTTTGAGTTGAATTTGGTGTTAGATTCTGTTCATTGGCTTGCTGCATTTGGTGTACAATATCACTCTTTAATCACAATTCTTTTTATGCATAACCTTGAACTGGTTGTTTCAATAATAATGGCGTAAACCCCTTGAGTCTTTTGCAGCGTGGTTGTGATCGAGGATGATGATTGTGTGAGAACATAGAAGTAAATAGTATTGCAAGAATGTGGTTGTATGCTTAACTGGTAGCATATCTCTGGTTATCTTTATCTTAGTTTCTTGTATTCACATTTTTTTTTTTTTTTTTAACATTCATTCATTAATTGAAAGCATGTATTCACTGAATACACAATTATTGATTCGAGTATGGAGGTTAGACAAGGCTTTCTGATATACTAATGCACTACTAAGCACATGAGTTTAGAGTGTGACCCTCAATCACTTTGATTTTTTAGGCCGAATAATAGATCAAGATTCGAAATTACAGGTAAGAGATTCACTATCCTAAGCGGTATTCCGGAATAGAAAACCCACGCTGCTCATAACTTCACCATCAGTAAGGTTGTTGTTAGGCAGATGGCAGACCTAATGATTAGGCAGCCATACTTTTTCAACAAGAGATGTGCATACTTTCAAGCTCAAATGCCATACTCCCAAGAATACAGTGCCTACTGCTCTAATGCCCTGAACATTATACTAAAACGATATTCTGTAATGCTATAGATATTATGCAGCATGGTCTCATTAAGGGATTCGTCTTTAATCTGCCTCAAACAGGGTACAGTCTAAGAAATGCTCTGAGATTTATGAATTCTCTGATTAAATATGTTCATGTCTTTGCTTCTGTTAAATTCCTGAATTATGCCTTTTCTCTTGAGCTCCAGAGCTGATTCTGAACATTTGTCCCTTGTACTCATTAGTTTCAGACCTGCCAACAGTCTCCCAAACAAAGTTGAATTTCTTGAAGGCATATAAGAGACCGATTCCTAGTATATACAACACAGTTTTACAAGAGCTTATTGTACAGCAGCATTTGATAAGGTACAAGAGGTCATACCGCTATGATCCCGTTTTTGCACTTGGTTTCGTTACTGTGTATGATCAGCTCATGGATGGATATCCTAGCAATGAGGACCGAGAGACCATCTTCAAAGCTTACATTGAGGCTCTAAATGAAGATCCTGCTCAATACAGGTTGTTTAGAACCTCTTGCTTACAAAATTAGTATCTGTTCTGTCGATTTTTCTGATCCATACATGATAGACATGAACGTAATGTATAATATCCTTTAATTAGCTGCTAACATGATTTAACATTTTGATTGGACATTTGAACGGCAAAATTCCTACATGTAAAAGGCATCCATGATCTAGACGTGGTTGACTTGTATTGTTTTTTAACACTTTTTGTAGAGTGGAAAAAAGTGTTTTTTTGCTTCTTTCTTCTTCTCTTTTTCTGTTTTTCTTTTTAATAACATAAAGTGAATATCAGTGACCAATGTGTTGCTCTAAAGAAAGTTTCGTGATTCAGAGCTGATGCACAGAAGTTAGAAGAGTGGGCCCGTTCACAGACTGCAACTTCATTAGTAGATTTCGCATCCAGAGAAGGAGAGGTTGAAAACATTTTGAAGGACATATCAGAAAGAGCAGGGAGCAACGGAAGTTTCAGTTATAGCCGGTTCTTTGCTGTTGGTCTATTCCGCCTGCTCGAGTTGGCAAATGTGACTGAGCCAACTATCTTAGAGAAGGTAACATTCGTGTGACTGTTAAAGATAAATGGTCAGGAGCTTGGTTTGAAATATCTGATACTTCTTTTTCTTTGATGAGGGCCAAGAATGCCAAGTTATGTAAGAAATGCTTTTCATATTTGAGAACCTTTATATCCATGTACAGCTACTAAATCAAAGGCATCTCATCTAGCATAGACATACATAGTGTTGGTGGCACGTAAATTTTGAAAGAGTGAAACATAGTCCAGCATGACTTACACGGTATTAAACTGAATTATCTCTTTTATCTCATTTTCAATGTCTTTTTATTGGACTAGCATCTTGAATCGTGTAATTGAAGGGAACAAAGAAGTGATGCCTTTTTCTCTTTATTCCTTGTCCCATGGTCCCGATATCTCGTAGACTTTTGTCTTGTATGCCTACTGATGATATGGTTCTTCACGGCTTTACAGCTTTGTGCTGCACTAAATGTAAATAAAAAAAGTGTTGATAGAGACCTTGATGTCTACCGCAACCTTTTATCCAAGCTGGTTCAAGCAAAGGAGCTATTGAAAGAGTATGTAGAAAGGTAATGACTTTCCTTTTGAATTTCCTTATGACATCGACTGACATACTATGTTTTAACAATATGTGAAAACAGCTAAATGAACTGACATCTGATCTTTAACTGATACAATGAAAATCGATTGAGCTACATGTTTCTGTTGCCGTTTCACATCCTTCTATTCTCGTTCTTATTTTTCAACTGAATTCAAAATTGCCTATACAAGAGTTCCAATTTCCTTGCCCCTGTGGAATTACTTTAGCTTTTATATTTTGCTTAATATCGTCATTCGGGGTATTTTTCGACTCAGTATTAATGTATTTATATTTCAGAGAGAAAAAGAAAATAGAAGAAAGGGCAACATCTCAAAAGGCCAATGAGGCTATCACAAAATGCTTGGCCGAGCACGAATCTGCTGTGCGGTAGTTCCAAATTTCCCATACCACCTATGAATGTACTTCATTTCTCATTCTACACTATTATAAGATAAAGATCTGGATTTCGTTAAACTTCAGCAAGTGCGCATACACTTTAGAGTCGAGCTGTAGGTATTGAAGAGTTCAGATTCATATGATTGACATGTTTTGTGATGCACATATGCGAGCGACTCTCCTCTAAAGAACATTACAATATTTTTTTTGTTCATAATTTTATTATTTAATATTCTCATTATGCATGCATTGGATTCTAGGCACAAAGACCATGTTTGATCTTTTACTGTATTACTGTATTGTGCAGCAGCCTTGCCTTGTTCCATAATGTAAAAGGAATTTGATTTCCAACTTTGCACCCATTTTTTACTATTTATTCGAGTTCTTTTGTAGTTATAATCTATCAAGTAACCCTGAGATTAGGTTGATAAACTTTTTGATTAATAATTTTAAATTAGTTTGACATGCATTTTGAATAATTTTGCATACTCATATGGTCAGATGACATACTTTTAAAACAATGTAAACAAAGTATGACATTTATAAGTACCTATGTTCATGTTTATTCAATAGTATGATGAGTCAACTCGCGGGAATGATTAAAAACATTGGTTACCATCTGCATCAACTCTTACAATCTATATAATCTTATTGATGTTCTCCATATCCATATGTGCAACCTAAGAAAAGTTCCTCCATGGGAGAGACTTTATAATAGAAATTAACAAAGCCACACTTATAATTCAACCTTTAAAAATCACGGTACCGGAAATAAGCCACGACAGAAGTCAACTGAGATGGGAAATGTCAACCTCGTCCGGAAGCTTGAACGTGTCGGCCGCACCAAACTTCCTCCACTCTTCCCCAACAGACTCGTCCTCATTGTCACTGTCCCTTTCATCCACATCGTGAACGATTGGAGATGAAGGGTCGAGCACGCTTTTAGATCGACAATCGTGGGTTGCGAGCATCTTGACTTGTCCAAGATGAGAGATTTCAACCACAACCGTTTCATCATCGACCGGGAGAGGCTGTTTCCAGGGTTCGCCGTCGATCCTCATGTACGTGTGGTCCGCAGCACCCTTATGGAACTCGAATCGGACACGGTGTGCCTATACACGAGAAGTCAAAAGACATGGTCGAACGTTGCAATTGTCGTCAGTCTAGCCTGCCTAACTAGTTAAAATTGACGATTCATGTTAATTATGACCAACATATAAGACATTTTGGATAAAATCAAAGAAAGGCTATAGTTGTCAACTAGTAAGACTGCACTTAGACAAACCTAATAGTTAAGTAGACGTATTTTTTTCAATGGATATGCCTGTCTACTTCGTTGTGCTGATGGAGGAACTTTTGGTAGGTCAATCTAGGATATTTTCGTTCACAGAGTATGATAGCTCAATCCGTGTAATAGTTAGGTCGCCTCACACAAGAATTTTTGCAACTCAAATGGAACAGTGTTCTGTATTTCCTATATGTACCATGCGCTAGTATGATTTTTTATTTTTTTCAATCAATGATAAAAGAATCATACAGCTCACATTCTGAAAGTAAAATTAGACATCTCTTTCGGACACAAAATCATGATGAAAGATTACTGAAATTATGCAATCCGATTATTCAGAATTGTGATCCAGAATAAGGGTTAAAACCTGTGCAAGGCGCGTCCCATGTCCATTAGGAGCAAGTAAAACAAGTCCATGCCAAGCATCTCTAAAGCCAACAATTTCGAGCAGACCATCGTCAACCAATGGGGGAGTCAAGTCTCTCTGTGGGATAAGTTGGACCAAGAAATATAATGACAAATTCGAAAGATCAAGATCTTAGCTCCAATCTCTAAAGAAAGATAAAATGAATGGGGACAATGGAAAAGGAAAAGAATATATATATATATATATATATATATATATATATGTAAAGGGGTGATGTGAAGAATATGTTTCTGGAGAGTACTGACATCACGACGTTTATGAATGTTTGGAGTTCCCCAAGGATTAAGTCCACCGGAAAAGCTCGGCAAATTAAGGCATACAATTGACCTGATGCTGTAGGTTAGGAAAACAAGAGAGATTAGCAGATTATCTCGAAATAATTAAAACATCTGATTAATCATTTGGAAGCAAACTGTGGGATATTAAATGTTACTGTGCTGCAAAGGAGTTTTAGAAAGATAAATTATGAATATGTAAAGGGGAAACTGTGCAAGGCATTGTTAAAGACGAGAATTTAATTTAAGTAGAATATTGCATCTAGAATCTACATAAATGGTATTATGGACAAATGTTCAGATTAACACTCTGGACATAAATTATCTTTAAAGGCATCGGCTTCTTTACCAAGAAGCAAATTCTGAATTCTGGTAGTTTCAAGTACTATGAAATCCCTCACCTCCACCTCAAACATGCATTAGCCATTTGCTTGGTTTATCTGTCTTATTTGATACTTGACATGGCTAAAGTTCGGTTTCAGGAAATAAGAGACCCATTTATTACCCATGGAAATAACCAATAAAATAAAATAAAATAAATCTATATGGCCAATTGACCACCCCAGTATGTTTTTTACCTCGACATTTCATTGCCTTTTTTTCTAACCTTGTAGTAATTATATGAAGACGGTAAGGAGAAGGTCACTCATAAAATTGAGTTTTTGTATGGAAATAAGTCAACCTGTGAGGAATATGGAGGTCTTGCCAATCACCATGTCTTTTCATGATCTTAACCTTTGAAAGCTGAGCAATGTTCCTGGACCGAAATTAATCGGTATCAGTAAAAAGAAAACCTCAGTTCAGCCAGAACTTTGGGGGATACACTCACAAGGTCAAATAAGTACAGTGGATAGAAATTATAAAATGACAAATTATGTTGCTCAATATTTTCTGTTTCATCCCGACACTGGATAGAAATTGTATATTAAGTAGCACGACAAGAAATTTGTGCATGAAAGTTCATGTTAGAACAGGTGTAGATAGATATGTTTTACATAAAGATAATGGGTAAAACAACTGCAGCACTCCTTTCTTTAGCTTGGAAGTTAAGCCACACTTGTTTTATGAAGCATATAAACTAACCTCGAAGAAGGGTGAAAGAGTGAAGCAAAAAACCATCCTTGTGAGCATCCAAGTTTTGCATATGTGCTCTAAGACAGAAAATATATCTTTACTTTATGGGAAAAAAATTTGCCGACGGTATAAAAGCTTCAATGAGACTATAAACAGCAGTTTATAATCAAAGTGAAGAAAGTACAGCACTCACTTATTTATATGTAAATTTCCATATGCACTCGGCAATACTACCTATAGTTTATATATATAGCATATTTCGAAACATGTAGAACTTACGGAGCGCGACTGTAAACTTTTATTTCATGGAGTTGACAAGAGATAGTTCTCGTTCATCTAGTTTTTGTCAAAAGATACCATTTACGAATTAATTCTTGATTAAAAGAGGAATCATGATGGTCTTCAGGAAATGCAGTTGTTGTATATAACGATAGCCTATCGTTACACCCTCGCTGTCCCAAAGTGACAATTGACATTTCTTTTTAAGGCGTCCTAAAATGATATTCATGTTACTTTATGTAGAATTGTAGATTATTTAATTAATGAAACAGCCAGTAGATTAGAGTCATAGAATGAGATAAAAAATTAATTTTCAGTATTTTACATTTTCCAAACACAAAATTTGAGTTTTCTTAAACTGTGTGTATATGTTGTCATTAGTCATCTTTGTGGGACAGAGGGAATACCTGATTAATGAGCTGGTTCTTGAATTTTTCTGGGTGCAACTTTCGCTCAGAGTGAAAGGCATAGGAAACCTGTGCATCCATGCCTGAATACCCATGAATTAACAGGTTTTACGAGTAAAATCTATTGAATTGTGGTTTCCGGTTGAATGGTCACAAGTAAAACTGTGAAAAGTAGTTATTATTTCTTAACCATATCTGCTGGCTCAGGGTGCATTAAGAAACTATTTACAGCATCCAATAGTGATAAGCTTTATGTCAATACTCAATATAGATCCCAGCCTTCAAAGTTAATTCAAACTTAATTATGTTCAGTTTGGAACATATTCACAAAATCACATGAGAGACCGAGTACAAAGGTTGAATTCAATGTAAAATTTGAAGATTTCCATATGGAACAGTTCACTTACCCATGCTGAAGTAATTCCAAAATCCTCCACGGAATGTGATGCAACCTTCCTGAAAAAGTTTTTATGGCAACAAGCGAGACGTTAGATACAGTTTTATCAATGTTTAGAATATTATCTTAGAAAAGAAAAAGGAAAGAACCGCAATAGGAAACTGGGCTAAAGAACAATCAAGCATATCACAAGTACCCCCTTTAATTTATAGTACTCCAAGTGGTAATTGTTAACAGAATAAAAACAATGACAACATCACTTCGTAATTTGAGTTTTAAGATAGTCAGAGACCTGAAAAAGATACTTGTTGTCAACCAATTATTTGACTGTTTACGTTCCAGACATTTGAGGTTGAGCTTATTTAAGATGACATTAGTATTGCTTAGTAAAAAGTTATATATGGTGGTATCAACTGGGAATGAAGTGATATCCAGAAAGGGATTATCAGACTAGACACACAGGCAAAATTCATATGGAACAATTTGATAAAACTAACGTGAAGAAAGAATCATATAAGACTAAGAAAATACAAAGATAAAATGAATCCCAAGAAAACTACTGGATCTACTGGCAAGAAAAGCCTTCTCACCACATTGAGATCATCTGATGAAGAACACCGACGAAATGCATGCAATGAATGAGGTAACTCAAGAGGAGCAATTGGATCACAAGAACCGTTTTTTGGTGCCCTCATACGCATGAGAATATGCCAACTGGACGATTATGAAAAATCTTTAGAGCCATCGGGAGAAGAAAAATATTCTATAAACTCAAAGATAGTGAATTCTAGTTGCCCATATCATCGTTGAACATCAGGTTCTGAAAATAATCTAAGGACGCAATTAAAAATGAGGACAGACTCATAGTGTGCACAGAGCAGCTATAATACCATCCACTTCTAGATGAGCATGGTCAATGGTTAGGAGATAGACACAAGTGGATACTCGAGTGTTCTCAAGGAAATATCAGAATAGTGATTTTTCAAGATTTAGCTCAAACCCTCAGGGAAGGAATGAAAATTGTTGATGATATCAAGATGCGAAAGTAATTCATTAACAATGGACAACACACATGTCCAGGTGTATGAAACATTCTGGAGTAGTACTATGGACACTGGAAAAAAAAGAAAGAAAGTATATACTTTCTTTTGTCAAAGTTTCAAGCAGGTTACTCAGATCAACTTACCTTTTGTAGAAGATCAAGATAACAAACACATCACTAAGTGAAAGCACAATGGTAAGTTGCGAAAAGGACAATGTTCAAAAGAAGTGGGAAAAAAAATGTATGAAATTTAATTATGCAAATACACCGTTAAAGAGAAACCTCTTTATATTCCAATATTTTCAGAAAGCGTGACTGTAAACTGAGGCATTGGAAATGAGGAGGGGTCAGGTTTATCGCATTCTATTAAGTAATGTGTAACTGATAGTTCTTCTTCTACTCTTTTGCAGTGAAATTTCATAAGCAATGAAAACTCTGTGTTAGCTAAAGAGAATAAACGAAATTCAGATGTTAAGTGAAAGTTACCTGTCTATCTTCATTTCTTTAGCTTTCTGCACTTGATCCAAGAATGATATTACTGAATCACGATCAGTTCCAGGATTTTTCTTGCCCTGAAATTAGATACACAAAGTGCATAACATCTTGCTGTCATTTACTAGATTTGATTGCAACGCAGAGTTACCTAATCAAACATATTACTGTTATGAGCCATTTCAAAAAACCACTACATGATAGGCTCAATATATTAAAAAAAAGTGATGGGCAGAAAATTTTTTCAAAAAAAGTTCCACTATATGCAATGTCTACACCTCACGAATTTCCATTTCAAGAGGTTTATACAAATTCTAGTTCAGTAGCACTAACTCCAGAACCTCACAAATTATAGACTTTTCTCATACCCAACCGAATGCGAAAGGTAGATTATTCCCAGTTCCCAAAGGCACAGTAGCAATTGGTGGCGGCTGAGATAATTTTAGATCAGAAACCACCCCGAGAAGCCATCCAGCTGTACCATCTCCACCAGCAACCTATGACAGGACATGGATATCAGATATTTCACACGCATTCTATTTCCAAAATCAGTAAACATAAAACGTAGAACCCTCTGCACAATCTTCCATTTTGTAACTCACAATTAATTTCAACTTCTGCTCAAGCTCAGAAGCAATATCATCACCATTATTCTTGAGCCTTTCGAGATTGAGAAACAGCCTACGAAGTACAGCATCAGGAGCATTTTCTCCTAAATCAATGACCTGATATTGGTAATATCAGCGTGTGTGAATGGAAGCTGTCTAATGTCTATAACACAATCTAAGCCAGAGATCATTGAGGATAGAGACTTATAGTTCACAATATCCATAACTTACATAACAAATAAAAAAACAGAAAAAGAATCCAGAACTGCAGTTGATTTTACCTGTTTCTCGTTCAGCAAGGATCGGTACGTGACGAGAAGATCTCCACCCAACTGGCCACCACTTTTTGAATTGATAAAAACCAAAACAGGACATTGAGGTTTCAATGGCGAGCATTCGACCTTCGAGTCGGGATCAATTATATAGCTAGGAATATGAAATTGCTTGAGAAAGTCCTCAGAACCAGGATCGGTAGTCGTCATTTTTTTACTGAAGTCAACAACTGCCACAGGAATCGGAAACAACAAAGAATTTAAGTTCAACATCAATCAATACTCTACTAAGGATGACCGAGCTACAAATCTAGTGTTCTTTTCAAGCATATAAATTTAGCACATAGCTTTTCAGAAGAAGAAGAGCCCCTGAGGATTCCATTAACACACCTTAATTCTTCCATCCTAGTAACTGGCTCAAAGCAGATTTTGCTGATTTTTGTCTGCAAACAGCAAAAATTAAGACGATAGCAACTGGTCTAAGCAAGCTAACAGCAATTATTATCCAAATAATAAGCTGACAGCAAATGTTCTAAGCAAAATAACACAAAAAAAGATCAGTATTCATAAAATCGCCATAACTGAAACCTCTCTCACCCTCAACGCATTAAAGATTTGCGGTTCAAACACAGAAACAGGAACATCGGACCTCTAATCGGCCAACGCAACGATAATTTGCTTCTTAAGAAACCTTTAATTAAATCCGAGAAAAAAAAAAAAACACAATTTCACAAGACAAAAGGGACAAAAGGCGATCGAAGATTGATTTTTGTCACCTTGAGAGAAGAAAACTGCGGGATCAGAGAGTTAAACTGCGGCGAAATTCGGATCGATCAGAAAGTGGCCATAAGGGCATAGCGCGAGTGACCGTGAAGGCCAAATTATTTTCGGATTAGTTATTTTTTTTTTTTATTTATTAGGCAGAAAATTGAAAGATAAGAAAAGAGAAATTGCGAGTTTCATAAAGTCGAAACAGTACAGTACAGATCCCGATTGGAGGGATGTCAGTTATGACAGTTGGCTAAATACCAACTAATTAGTACCGTAAAATACTTAATAGTTAATTAGTGGGTAATTAGTTAATTGGACATTCGTCGAGATTTGTAACCTGATTCAACGGTTATATACCCTGACGGAATGATTCCATAACGGAACCGTCGCATCTCTGAAAAATATAAACTAAATGTGAACCTCATGGATACAATTCATAAAAGAATTGTACCTAAACTAAAAAATCATAAAAAAAAAAAATTACATGTACATGATGTTGCTGAATAAATTTGTACGTTTCATTTTCTTTTATCGTCCAATTGGATATGACTAGCAGCAAATATCACTTAAAAAAAAAAACAAAAAAAAAAACTAGGGACAAATCTAGATATTCTGTTGCTCACTTCTTGTGAATTTCCGTAATCTAAATTGCTCGAGTGACCTACCATTAGATTCGTTCGTCGAGTAGATGTTAGGCTACCTCAAAATATAAGCTTAAATAAAGTTCATTGGCATGTTCATTTATTAGTAAAACGTTTGATGTGAAACAAATCTCCACAAGCCCGGAGTTTTTTGGTTAAGTGATCTACCGTTATTCTTCTGATCTAGTAGTTGTTACTGTAAAAATATTGGCTCAATAGAGTTAATGTATCCGTTTATTTTTTCGTACAATTTTATCGCCGACGATTTTAGGGATGCAACTCGTCTCTAGCCAGCTTCCAAGCTGTTGTCACATTTTTCACCTAAAAGAAAAAAGAACAAAAAAACAAATACAATTCATCCACCATGCATTATTCAGTGGAATTTCATCATCCAGACAACCAAATAGGCCAATTATCTAATCTAATTTAACAAAACAATATGACTGTGTCCAATCTATTATCCGAATGACAGGTTGTGTGTTTACTGTCTGTGTGGTCGGATTTTATTGAAGATTTGTTCCCAAAAGAGCACTTACTAATATAGCAAACCACGAATAGTAATCAGTTCCAATTCAAATATCCTTTCACACAAGTTACTAATACAAACCAAAATATCTAACCAGCACAATTATACAAATTTTACTACCGAACATCTTTACCGGAGACAAGTCTACCAATTTTACCCCGCCGGCGCAAAATTCAATCTTCCGTCGCTGGAAATCTCAAGTCGTGAAGTAACAGATTACAAGTATCGAGAGAACAAAATCTACAGATTCCTAAGCGTCTGCATAAAAACAGCCGCGAACGCGTCCAATTTCTTCTTGGGTCTCGACAGGCAGAACTCCAGCCCGCCCTCGTAATCCCTAGATTTACACAGCGACATCGACGTCTCCCGATCGATCGACGGCGACTCGAACTTCTTCGGCCGTCCCCAGCCGTAGTCAGCGTCGTACAGATCGAACCGCGGCGATCCCGCCACCCCGAACAGCCGCTTCCGTGTCATTTTACGGAACTCCATCGGCCAATCCTCTGCCCCGTCCAAAATCCCCTTCTCGCTGTACACAGTCCTCTGTATCGCTAACCCTAGGCTCTCCGCCGCGATTAGGAAGCCCTCCTTGCCTCGGAGCAGCCCGTGGGTGGATTCGGCCTTGACGAACGCCAGGCAATTGCCGAAGTACGTCGCCGGGAGCGGCGGATCCAGCCTCCCGCGGCAGTCGGCGGCGAAGCCGAAGTACTCTGGCTCGTCGTCCGCCACCGACCTGGCCTCCGCCTTGACGAGGCACACCCAGACCAGGGCGCAGGTGACCGTGAACGCCGTGATGTGCATCTCCGGCCTCCTGGTCAGGAGGAACCCCTTGAGCTTCTCGACGTCGTCCCGCCGCACGACGAAGGTCGCGCGGACCTTATTCATGGGAAATTTGTACGGCCAGGAGTCGGGGGGTTTGGATCTCTTCATCTGTTCCCAATAGATCGAATCCAGACCGTCCGGATCCTCCACGGCGGTCCGGTCGAAGAACGGGAGCGATTTCTCGTCGACCAGCCGCGAATCCCCGCCGAACCGGTTGACGGAGGCCCACGCCTTGACGAACCGGACGATGGTGCTGGCATCGCCGATGGCGTGGTGGTTGGTGAACCCGAGGCAGACACCGTGATTAGGAAACAGGGTCACCTGGAGCGCGAGGACGGGGAAGACGACGGCGTCCGGGGCGTGCCTCGCCGGCGGGAGCTGGGGGACGCAGGCGTAGAACTCATCGCAGGACCGGGGGTGGTTGCCCGTGAGGTGGCGGAAGTCCTTGTGGCACTCGGCGACGGTGAGCGAGACGGAATCCCCGACGACAAACCGGGAGAACGGGCGGCCGGGGCCAACGGGGTGGACAATGTTTCCAGCGAGGGGGAGGAAGTGGTTGAGGGTGGTGAGGAGGGACCGCTTGAGGTTGGGGACGACGGTGTCAAGGAAATGGGATATGGAGCAGGGGAAGTCGAAGAAGAGGAGGCGGTTGAGGGGGTGGAAGTAGAGCCAGGCGATGTCGAAGTGGAGAAGGGGAAGAGTCAGCTCCGCCACGGTGTCCGGCGACGGCTGGATTTGGCAGCGCTCGATTACGGCGGCGGCCATCGGGTTTTCAAGGGTTTCGGCGGCCATCGGGCTTACAAGGGTTGGGGCCAGCAAAGGTGGAAAATGGATTTATTTAAAAAGGAGAAGGCGATGGCTTTTTCGACGAAGTGAAATATTCAAAAAGTGACGTGGTGGCTTTGATGTTGGACTGAAATTATTTAGGCGATATTGCAATTAACATACATTATTATTATTATTATTATTATTATTATTATTATTATTATTATGTAGCAATCCAATCCAATGTATATATATTATTCATTTATTCTACTGCCACTGGCTTCATTCATCCCATCCCAAGCAATTTGCCCAATCAGAACCGAGCTCTGGCAGAATTTCCAGATAAGTATTTGCTATTTTTTTTATGAGTATGATTAAAATAATAAATCACAAATTGTGTTAATTATATTTAGCAAAAAATTGTGTTAACAATCACAAATTTTTTCAAAATTGATCTCAATTAAAAATTCACAAACAACTGCAAGATTTGGTAGGCTTCATGTGTTATTTATTACGCAACTAACTCCACAAGGTTGTCATCCACGCCTCCACCAACCCATTTCACGCAACCTACCACAAAACTTCAAGGGCCCAAAAGGAAAATATTAATATATATATATATATGACATATTAGATTTGATTGAATGTGCGATATCTATGTTTGCTGGTCCATGGCTTTGTCTTTAAAAGGAGAGAAACTGTTTCGGTGTTCATGGCAATGGTCTCTATCATATACTTTGTTACCCTCAATTAAAGTCTGTTTATTTCATACTCATATTAGTATCCTGCCAATCATGGAAATTTATTTTTATTATTTGATTTTAGTTCCTTTTCGATTAATCACCATCAAATAGGCCCAACACTCGCGTATGACGAGCAGCTAATGCATGCGTACCAATAATCACGAGTCCCATGAATGAAATTCCGTTGATTCCTTGAGCTAATGCATGCCTGCGAGTCATTGTGCGCTAGCTTGTTCGAGCCCACTCCTCCAAGTCTAGTTAATTTTGAGTCACTTTAAGCTTACTAATGAATCCTACATTTTTAGCTCATTTCTTCTCACTTAAAAATGACCTCTAAGGCTCTAAACTGTTGCACTAAGAAAATTACAACCAATGTCTCATGCAAAATAAACTGTTTTAAGTCGTATTAATTTTTGTTATTTTGTATTTTTTTGGTACAGAGACCTTCCGGTTTTCGAATCCACAAGGGAACCGACTAATTCGGAATCGAGCCGGTTGGACCACAAGAGCGGCAAAGCTCTCCCTCAAGAGTTTTAACACTGCTACATTCCCAGGGCTCGAATACGATTAACATTGCTAAATTTCCAGGGCTCGAACACGAGACTACTGGTTAAGCTAGAAAAGACCCAAACCATCTCATCCAATCGCTCTTGGGTTGTTATTTTGTATTTGACAACACTCAACTATTTATTTTATTCTAATATTTTAAGTCGTCATATATATAAAAAATTGTTATTTTGTCATCAATTTTTGAAAACAAATATAATACTACCTCATAGTTTTTAAAAGTCATTTTGGTATTATCAACTATTAACAAAATAAATGTCGCTTTGGATATTTGTACATATTTTTTCATTATCGTTACCCTCATCTAGCTAATTTATACACTACGTACTTTTCTCAAAATATTCGTCTGTATCATCATTAATGAGGGTTATTATTGAAAAAAAATACACTTAATAATAACTTTTCAAAACCACACTTATTATGAATAGAACAGTATGATTTTTCATTTATTTTGGTATATATGTAAGGACAAATATTTGCTAACTCCTACCAAACGAAAATTTAAATACACGAACGTTAGGTAGTTGGCTTTGATAATAATTTACGTATACCTATATATAATCAATTTTACCCAATTTCAGTCATAATTCACGAAACTGTAAGTGTCATTGTCCTGCAATTTCTTGTTTAGGACGAAAATATTATAAATTTAAATACAATTCCTTGTGATCATATTGATTGAGTTGCAGAGCTTGAAGCCTTCCCAATCCTCCATGACAAACCTCTCGGGTTTCACCTCCGCCAGGCGGGCCCACCTAGCTATTCGTGCACCTCACATTCTTCGACATCATGTGGGTCCACTTCCATTCCATGCGAAACCTACTTCTCCGAAAGCCTCGTCCCGAATCTCAAAAGATCTCTCCAACACTACCTCCCGTTATCGGGCCATTTGGTCTACCCTATAACCGACAACAACAAAAGCCCATTCTCTGTTACGTGGCGGGAGACTCAGTTTCCTTCACGGCCGCCTTGTCCAGACAAGATTTTGACGAGCTCCTCGCGGAGACGCCGACCGATTCTACGATTGTGGTGCCGAGATGGCCCCGCCGTTAAAGAAGGGCTCGATCGGAAATTAATCCCGACTTTATCCCTGAAAGTGACTTTGTTTCCCGACCGAGGTGTATGCATCGGTTTTTCCACTTATCATTGTGTCGGTGACGCATCCTCGACTTACCGCTTCGTGAAGGCTTGGTCGGAGATCGTCAAATCCGGACGAGCCGACTTTCTTTTCCCGACTTTCGACCGGTCTTTCGTCCAGGATCCAACCCGGCTCGTCACCGTCTACTGGAATTTGGTGAGGCAGAGTCCCCTGAAGCCGGCGATTTTTCCTCTGCCCACGAACAGGGTAAGAGCGACTTTTACTCTCGACCGGGCTAATTTAGAGAAGCTTAAGGGCTCGGTTTTGGCGGAAAAACCGAGCTTAGGTCGAGTTTCGTAGTTTCTTGTCGTGGTTTCCTACGTATGGACCTGTTTTGAGAAATCGGGCGGCCAGAAATTGGAGAATGATGTTGTGGCGGTCGTTTCTCGGTTTCCCGGTGGATGCCCAGGCCCGCCTGGACCCGCCCGTGCTGGAGAATTATTTCGGCAACTGCTTGGATAAGGGGTTGGTGATAATCGAGCGCAGACGGCTGGTGGGGGAAAATGGGTTCGTGATAGAGGTCGAGGCTATTGCCGACCCTATTAAGAATAGGGTGAATGTTAATAACGTGGTTTTGAGAGGTGCGGAGAATTGGCTGTCGGAGATTAGGAAGTTGAGGGGAATGAGGGTGTTCTCAGTTTCGGCTTCTCTGAAATTCAGCTTTTCGGATGTCGATTTTGGATGGGCAAAGTCCAGAAAGTTTGAGATTGTGTCGGTCGACGGGGAAATGTATTCGATGTCGTTGTGCAAGTCGATTGTTTCGGATGGAGGCCTGGAGATTGAGTTGTCATTACCAAGGGGTAGAATGGAAGCTTTTGGTGCTATATTTGGGAAGGGAATTGATGGGAGTTCAAGAAGATTTCTATCCCGAGTGTCTACTGTGGCCCGGCTTTAAAGTGTGTTCTGTTTCCTTTGTTTTTGCTTTTGGTGATGAATAATGTTAAAATATGTGTTTTTGTTTGTTGGTATTGAGCTATGGTAATGTTTTTCCGTTGTTTGATCCAAGGAAAGTAAATGATTATGGTTGTGTTTGGGACTTGGTTTTGCTAATTGTATTTGTATAAAGCATGAACTGTGATGGAGGGAAGTGTCATGGAAATCTTCTAAGCAAATGTGTATTGCTAGATCCACGATGGAGTTCGAGTTTAGAGCATTGAAAAAAGTCGAGGAAGAAGTTGAATGACTTAGAAGTTTCTTTGAGGATATTCCATGTTGGACAAAATCGAGTGCCCACCGTGATGATACATTATGATAGTCAATCGACAATTGAAAGAGAATAAAGTTGTTTGTACAATGGTAAGTCTCGCATATACGTCGAGAGCATAATACCATATGACATATGATATCGAATGGGTTAATTCGGTTGACTACATGAAGTCAAAAGAAAACCTAGCGAATCTGTTTACTAAAGGCATTAATCGAAATCAAATGTACAAATTAGTTGGGAAATGTATTTAAAATCCACAACATAAAAACAGTTTTCGTGGTAACCTACCCTTGAGAATCGAAAATACCGAAACCTTGATGAAAAAACTAAGTTTTGACACATCGGTAGAATATTAAAATTTTCACTCATTTCTAAGAAGCATCAGGTGTGTTAAAATTTACCTACGTGTTGAGGTTAAGTCAAGGATTTTTAATGGTTCCTCTACCTAAGGGTGGAGTAAGACAAGATACTCTTTATGAGAGAACCACATTTGTAAGTGAGAAGTAAAAAGAATTCTTCATTTGAACATTTAATAAACCGCAATGTAATCCAGGGAAAAAATGGATACAATGTGAGAACAAAAAAAGGTTAGAATGTTGTCGTGTGAATTCTAATGTCTTGGAAATGCGAGTAAGTTCATCTGATAATATTTCATTATGGAAGATTCAATGTCACAAGCTATCTACCCTGATGCATCGTCGGGACTCTTAAATATTACATTCATTATTAATTTAATTCATATGGGGGAGTATAAGAAAAAAAATGATTTTGTACTGTTTTTATGGTTTTACGCATGTTTATGTAACGCAAAAATTGTAGGATTCACAAATATTTTGTTGATAAATGTTTGGACAATCCAAACCAGCATGATCTTGCAATACGCATGTTAGAACTCTAAAAGTCTAGTTGGGGTTAAGTACGAAAAACCGAAGCACGATTCTCAGTCTAGCGTGCGGACGGGCTCCCAGAACGCAAGTGCGCGCCAATCCCCATCGCAGGAGTGACGCTTGTTGGACAAGATGGATCATCGCGGGCACGACAAGCACAAGACTCGAATGCACCTGCTTGTGCCAAAAAGGTTCCAACTCAATTTTGCACGAGCAAGCACATGCCAGAAAGTATCTTTTGATGCCTTAAATTCCTTGAAAATGTCCAATATAACATATAAATATAAATGTGAAGTGAAATGGTTCATATAATAAGATTTTAAGAGATAATTTCATCAGTTTACAAAATTCATAAAGTATCTTGTGTTATACGTTTCTATTTCAGAGTTTCGAAACTTGAGTATTGTCGTTGGATGTTTGTTTGTTGAGTTTCCACTACACACAAATCAAAATACATTGTATCATGAAAGTGTTGACCGTGAACCATGTGCAATATAAGGGACTATTTCGTTTTAAGGAGAGAGTACCTTACGTGACTCGATTTTGATGATTTCCTTTCGCTTTCTTAATTCATCATACCCAAAAAAAAAAAAAAATACCGAACGCAAATACAAGAAAGCTAGCTAGATGGCTTTGTTAATTATTTTTATATTTATAATTAGTTTTCCCTATCATATTCAAAATCCATGAAAAAAAAAATATTAATTGTCATTTTCCTCTACTTTCTGTTTTCCTGGTCGAATAAAGACAAGTAGACGAGCCGGATCTTTATCGTTTGCCCAGTAATCAGTATCGATAGAGGAATCTTGTGCCAAATTTTATACTACCTCCTTTTTAAAATAAGTGTCGTTTTGACTTTTTTTATTCATCCATTTTGCTACGTATTTAGACATATTTATGTCTAGATACATAGCAAAATGGATAAATAAAAAAAAATCAAAACTACACTAAGGAGGGAGTATTATTTTATCCTTGCATTATTGATCATGCCCATTTTTATGTACTAGTTTCTGTTAGTATGGGTCATATTCCATTATAAAATAATATATATCAATGACTTTAAGGATTGACTAATTGCTGCCCACACTTGGTGAATTTCATTGCACCATCCTAAAAAGAAACAAATACAGTAAATAAACACATTTGTTGAGTTGGAGAGCTTCTAGACTTCCACATACAGCCATACACGAAACCTCTTGGGTTTCGCCTCCGCCGGGCCCACCAAGTTAACCGTCCCTATGCTTACTCAAACCGAGTATGAACTTAGGGTGCTCGAGCTCAAGTTCGAGCCCTTAACAAACCTAAAATCGAGTTCAATCTCGACTTGTTTATTACTAATAACGAGTCAATCTCGAACATTAACTATAACAAACTTTATAAAAAATCTCATTTCGAGCCGAGCCGAGCCGAGCTCGACTCATTAACCTAACGAGTTTTATACGAGCTCAAGCTCGGCTTGTTTCAAAAGAGTCAAACCGAGCCAAACTGGTTTAATTTAACAGTATTTCGTGCCCTTGATTTTCTTCGACATTCATGTGGATCCACTTCTTCCAACCCATCCGACGCATTCTCTTTTACAACCATCCTCGGACAGTACTCAAAAAACCTCGTCCTGGACCTCAAACGATCACTCTCACTAGCTCTCGGACACTACCTCTCGTTATCTGCTGGCCATTTGGTCTACCCTCTAAACACGTTCGATGACGATAAAAAGCCTATGTTTCGATGGAAAGCGAAAGAAACTTGAAATTGCAATCATATGGAATGAGGGAAAATGGTACATCAAGAAAACAAGAAATGCAAATCAATTTAGCCATATTAAGAACTTCACAAAAGAAAAACTCAAACTCTTGGCCCATTGTCAAATATAGCACCAAAAGCCTCCATCCTCTCCTTCGACAAAGACAGGCCGACCTCCAAACCTCCGTCCGAACCACACGACCTACACAACGACACCGAATAACACTCCCCGTCGATCGATGCCACCTCCACCTTGGACGCGCTCCCCCACCCAAAATCCACACCGTACAAATCGAACCTAGGCGAACCTGAAACCCCCATAAACCTCATCTCCCCAAAGTTCCCGAAATTCGACATCCAATTCTCAGCACCTCTCAATATCTCATTCTTCTTATTCACCCGATTCTTGATATCCTCGGATATGGCCTCCACGGCCGTCACGAAACCCTCTTCACCGGTCAGCCGCTCGTGCTCGATTTTCGCCATTGCGTAGCCCAAGCAGTTTCCGAAGTAGTTCTCGGGCACGGGCGGGTCAACCCGCGCCCTTGCATCCACCGTGAAAATGAAGAACTCGGGCACGTCCTTATCGGGCTTTTCTCCGACCTCAACGCCGGATTTGACGAGACAGGTCCAAATGTATGACATTGAGACCACGAACGACGAGGGTCGGGCAAGGTCGGGCTTCTTGGCCCGAACCAAGTCCTTGAGCATCTCTATATGGGTCCGGGTCAAGGTGAAGGTGGCCCGGACCCGGTTAGTTGGCAAGGGGAAAGATGATGGCTCGACCGGGAACTTACGCAGAGCCTCCCAGAAAATTGAGTCGATTCCGATCGTGTCTTTGATAAAAGATCGGTCAAAAACCGGCAAATACGAGCTGCATTCGGAATCAACGTCCGCGGAGATTGTCGACCACGTCTTCATGAACCGGAAAATTGAGCTGGCATCGCCGGCCACGTGGCTGTTGGCCACGCCGATGCATATGCCGCGGCCAGGAAACAGGGTAACTTTCAGGGCTAACAGGGGAAAGAGCTTGTAATCCTCTTCTTCCTGCACAGGTGGCATCTCCGGGACAAAATCGTAAAATCTATCGGCATCACGGGGGTGGTTTCCGATGAGGTCTTCGAAATCTTCCCCGGAGATGGCGACCGTGAGCGGGACGGAGTCGCCGGCGACGTAGCGGAATAAGGGCTTTTCTTCGTCGGTCTTTTTGGGGTAAAGAAGGTGGCCCGACAAGGGGAGGAAGTGTCGGAGGGTTAGTGAGAGGGAGTTTTTTAGGTTGGGGACGAGGGTTTGGAGGAAATGGGCTTCGGAGATGGGGTGGCGGTAGAAGAAAAGGCGGCGGATGGGGTGTTGGAAGAATAACCAGAGGATGTCGAGGAAGGAGAGGGGTACGGATACAGAGGCCGGGCCGCCGGCCGGTGGCGGAACGAGACATGTTTCGAGGGAGGTGGTGGTGGTGGTGGTGGTGGTTGTGGTCATGGCGGCGGGGTTTGGGAGGGCTTTGTTTTTTTTGTTTTTTCTTGTTTTTTTCTCTTTTCTTTCCTTTTTTTTTTTATTTATCGACAATATTTGGAGGACTTTGAAAATGGTGCGTGGCGTTATAATAAGGTGTCGCACTGTCGTGGTCAAATGAAGGAGAAGATGTGGTCAAAAGTCGTATATGGAAACTCGACTACTATGCGGATCACTTCTGCCGAATTTATTATTTATTTTATTGGTTTTTGGTTTTAATAAATACTAGTACAGACCTTCGTGCAATGCACGGGATGCATAATTTTAAGGTCATTTATTCATTTTTATAATTGTATAATGAATAAAAAAAATGTACGGGATATATATAGTACGTGACCTGTAATAGGCCAAAATGTGAACACGGGTGATGCACGGGGTGCACAATTTTAAGGTCATTTATTAGTACAGAGCTCGTGCGATGCACGGGGTGCACTATTTTCTAGTATGTGTAATAAAAATACATACCGTATGCGCAGGACAGAAGCACTAAATGAGTCATTTCCACAGAGCTTGTCCGTTAAGGTAGCTCCTGAACACGGGTACACAATTTGTAGTACGTACCATAAAATCAGAACAGATTTCCATACAATTAGATAATAAATAAAGTCTTTTTATTTTAGTAAAGATTTTACGTACTTTGTTTTTTTACTTATCGGATGTTATGAGATTTTTTTTTATTAAATCAATTTTATGGAATATAATACAAATACAATTAGAGGATTGAACAAAATTAGAACAGATTTTTTTCATACAATTAGATAATAAAAAAATTTAATAAGGAAAAGAAGGAATTAGATAAGGAATTTTGAATTTGACTTTTTTTTTTTGGATAGATAGACTTTACGTACAAATTTTGACTTCACTGATTTTATGAGATTTATTTGGACAAAATCAATGTTAATATGGAATAAGACAAATAAATAGAGTCTTTTTATTTTAGTAAAGATTTTACGTCTTTTTTTTTACTTGTCAGATGTTATGGGATTTTTTTTCTTAAACTGATTAATGGGATATAAGACAAATAAATAAAATAATTAAATAATATTTTGGATAAAAATAGCAATGCATTAATTACGTTGACTTTTCAATCTACTAAATTGGGTAAATAGGATACCTTATATAATAACTATAGATACAAATAAATAACATGCCAAAATTTTAAAGAATAATTAATGTATTTTAATTTATTATCTAGCCATCAGTAATATCATTTAATGATGTGTTCATTATCTATTAAATGATAAATAAAATATTAATTTAAAGAAAATTTTTGTTTTTTATATACTCAAATAAAAATTAAAAAATACTATCGACAAATATGAATTATAATATATATCAGTAAAATCATTGCAGAAGTTAATAAAATTATTTAAGGAAAGAATCTTTTTGATCATATTTGAATAGGAAATGTATAAATGCAAGCAATTAATGCATATAGTAAAAAGTTTCTAAATAAAGTATGCATTAAATGTGAGTTGACTTTTCTTGCTACTATTTTTGGTAAATAGTATGGCTTTTAATATAAGTATAGACTAGTAATAAATTTATTGCTATTACATAGATAAATAATGTATAAATCAACTTTTAAAATGAAATAAAATGTAAACATACTAGAATCAAGTAAAGAGCTTTTAAAATTAGGTAAAAATACGTGATAAAATATAAAACAAACATAAAAATACAAAATGATATATTTAGTGTTTTAGCCACAATCTCGGCCGGTATTGAATAAGTATAAACTATTATTTTAGAGAAATTTATCTTTATTTGTATTCAATAATACAAATTATTGGCTCCACGGTAATTTTAAAACATAATAATGCGAACGCACATTTTTTAATATGATTTCTAGAAGAGAGATTAAATATATATATATTTTTTTTTTCCTTTTTACATATGTGTATATACTTTTCTTGGTCCTTGTCCTTTATTCACTTTTTTTTATTTTATTATGTTAATGCACTTGACTGTGAAATTCTGTGGATCATAAGTCAATGATAAGATGCACGCCATGTGAGTTAACACTTAAAGTAAGTAAAAAAAACTATTTGGTGCTTAATTAAATGGTGCCTTGAAGGATGAAAAAAGAGGCCATGGATCGAATTCAACAATAAATGAAAGGTATAAAGGTTAGAATCGAAATATCCTATACTATGGTAGGTAAAAGAAACTTCATATATTGTAGGAGGGTTAAACAATGTGAGGTGATTCTTAGGTCACAAATGACCTAATGAATTCTTAAAATCATCATTATTATAGCTCGCTATATCGGCTCGATTACAATGGTAACTACTAGGATATAGAACATGAGATTCGAAGAATTTTGAATCATTCTGAAAACTGAATCGAAATAGTTTCAAGTCGAAAAAAATTAATCGTTGAACGTTTGACTTCCTTCGAACTAAACCAGACTGAAAAAATAATTGATACAGTTCTGGAGATTTCACAAATATCTGTTCCAAGAACCGAACCATCTCAAAACTTACCGAATCAAAAAATCAAAATTAAGAACCAAATTATAATATTATATGTCTCTTGTTCATATATTATATGTCATCTTATATAATTTCACTATTTCTAAAATACTAAATAACATATGGAAATAATAATTAAATTTCACTTAAATTTTATGATTAAGATTGGAGCTTTTTTTTTTTAAGATTATTTATATTATGTTTATTTATACTTTTATTAGTCTTATTCTATCTTATAATTAAAATGGAATGAAGGGTAGACAATTTTTTAATATATGTATATTGTTTGAATTTCAAAATATATGTATATTGTTTGAATTTCAAAATTTTATCATTAGTTTCTCAAATTTAGTCTTAATTAAAATTTTGTGTTACTTATAAAATTTATTTCAATATAAAATCATTAATATGGTGAAGCATTAATGAACGTTGATTTTTTTTTTTTTTTAAGCATATTGAAATTCAAATAAAACCAGATAGGCATTAAAAAAAATTTAAAAAAAATTTGAAATCTTCGTAGCTCCGAATCAAACCAAACTGAACCAAACCATTATGATAGTCCTGAATATCAAACCGAATTGAACAAAAAAATAAAAATTTCTTAACCGAACCGTCTCGAATTTTGGTACGATTTTCGGATATTGAATTTTAGTGATCTCTAAATTCGGTATGATTTCGAAGATTTCTCAATCTCCGAACTGTACCAACACATGCTCATTCTAGTAACAACCATTTTGGGACAACGAGATGGAGATGACACGTAGATTGAATTTTGGTAAGAGAATAGGTATTTATTTTGAGATAAGGTCCAACAATGATCTCGCAATGCTTAAATTGAAGAGAACGGGTGGCTTTCAGTTCGATCTAAGGTTCAACAATGACCTATCCATGCTCGAGCTAGAGAGAATAACATCGTTCAGTTCAAAACTAGGGTTCAAGGATGACATGGCCACGCTCAAGTTGAAAAGAAGTGTGGATGTAAGCAGCGGTGAACAATAGTGTAGTTTGGTGAAAACTTGCACCGAACTACAAAAAAAAAAAAATGAACATAACAAAATAATAATCGAACCAACCACAACT